CTTTCTTTTCTTTAAGTTTCTTCTCTGGTAAAAGCATCCTTAATAAACGCTTAGCTATTCGTTTCACTCATATCACGCTACTTAAAAAAGAAAACTAATAATAAAAGAAAGGGGCGAAAAGCCACTTACTAGGGCTAACCTTTTTTTATTAACGAAGTTAATAGTTTTCCTAATCGCCCACTTCTCCGAACACTTTGGGCGAAAAAAAACCTATTCTCCTCCTCACTAGCCTTCGAAATTAATAAAAAACTAATTAAAGCCTTTACTTCTCCCCATTTAACTAGACCTAGTTTAAGATTTTATTAGCTACGGCTTTTTCCTGTAAAGCATATCCCTTAGCTTACTTTTGGGCGAGAATACTCGCTAAAAGGGCTAAATAGCCTGTTTAACACGGCTACTTACTTTCGTAAAGGCTTTTATTATTACGGCTAACTTATGGTCCTAAAAGGGCGTATTCTTCCTTTTAGTTTAGCTTATTGACGGTTCGTATAAGATAGTCAATAAGGACCACTTAAAGCCGGTATTAGAGGGTAATCCCTCAGCGGAGCCAGCTGGTTAAATCTTGAGTTCTAGATTACTGGCTCCGGTCAGAGATTAGTTTAGTTTACTTTGGCGATACTTCCGGTCGGCTCGGGTTCAATCACAACAGCCGCACGGATAGTGCCTTAAATTATGCTTGTAGGCTTTTTTTATTTTCCTTTTGCTCATGGGGGCGAATGGGCTTTATAATCAATTAATGCTTGGTCGGCAAAATATCAACAATTAGAGCAATAAGAGCGCGAGCAAGTAGGCGGGCAATTATGGTTAGTTTGGGTTTGCCAAGCTTTAATTAGTTTAGTTAAGTAGGGATTAGTTGATAGTTGGCTAACCTTTTCGGGGCTAATTTGGCTAACCTCATCATGGCTAACCTGCTCGGACGAATTATGGTTAACCTCCTCGTGGCTAACCTGCTCGGAGTTAAGTTGGCTAACCTTGCCCGTTTGGCTAACCTCCCCGGGCGAATGGCTAACCTCCTCGTGGCTAACTGGCTTTAAGTGGCTAACCTCCGGCACATTATGGCTAACCTCGGCTAAACTTTGGCTAACCTTTAAAGGCTGGTCATGGCTAACCTCTTCCGAAATGGCTAACCCTAATTTGGCTAACCTTCTTTTGTCTTTTCGCTTTTGATTTAAAACGGCTTTATTAGTCGCTCAATAAGCTCTTAATTGTTCCTTAGTGTAGGGCATGATTTCCTCCTTTTTCTCACCTTTGTTCGGCTTCGTTTCAATATCATAAATTAGCTACTGGCGGAGGAAAACCTCATTCTTTTTCGCAAAGATAGCAAATAGAAGTTAGGGGGTTAATCATCAAACACCCTTTTAATCGCTCCCTAGTGCCGATAACTTGGTAAAGAGTGCGGCAATGTTTACATTCAATACGGAATTTATTCATCCTTTTTATCCTCCTCAATTTCTTTTAAGGCTTGCTTAATTTGGCTAATTACTTTACGGTTTCGGCCTCCTTGGGCTCAACTGACACCTTTTTTGCTTTTTCTTTTCATACTTTTACTTAATATTCTCATTCTGACCTCCTTTCTTAACTCACTTCCCTTCTTTTTTTTCCACTTCATCCTTTTCCTTAACTTCAAAGATTATTTCCCCCTTGGCTAACTCTTTATTAAAATAAGCTAAATCTCCCCCGGGCTTTCTCTTTCTATAAGACACTTTAACTTGGCTAGGACTAGTGGTGAAAATAATCTGACCATCAGGCAAATTAAAACCTAAATTACCAAAGCGGCTAGTGAACTGCTTATCGGCTGTTAAGTCGTGCCAAGTGTTATCTAAGCCATAGTAAGCTAGGCGGTTATTTAGATAATTAAACTTGAATTTAAGCATCCTTAACCTCCCGCACTCGTAAATATCCTTTCTCTTCATAAACTTCTTGCTTAAATCTCGCTTTTAAAACTTCTTTAATCCGGGCTAATTGTTCCCTCGGCAAAGCTCCTTTATGTAAATTACCTTCTTTAATTCAGGCTAAGATTAAAGTATAAGAACACTTTTCACAAGCTAGGCCGTGCTGGCAAAGGTTCAGGGCTACTTGGCAAGTGGCGCAAGTTGGTAAGTGTGGAACTTCTAAGAGCTCTTGACAGTTTCGGCATTGAATTAGGATTTGTTTTTGGTCATCGATAGTAATGGGCTTTTGGAAAACTCAGTCTTTATTCACCTTTCACCTCCTCCCAATCCACTAAATAATAACT